ATTTATTTATTTATTTATTTATTTATTTATTTAGAGACAGAGCACAAATTGGGGGAGCGGCAGAGAGAGAGAGAGAGACAGAGAGACAGAGAATCCCAAGCAGTCTCCACAGAGCCAGCACGGAGCCTGATGCGGGGCTCAAACTCACAAAGCTGCGAGATCGTGACCTGAGCCAAAACCAAGAGTCAGATGCTTAACTGACTGAGCCACCCAGGTGCCCCTCACCTGGTCATTTTGATTAAGTTTCCATCTGGTGGCTGCTTTCTCTCTCTTTGGGCTGGCAGTTCTCAACCTTGGTTTCACATTTGTTATTATGTGGAAGCATTTAAAGAGTTCTCCAGCGGGTGTTTGGTAGCAGGAGCTTTTCAGGAAGGCTACCCCATCCTGCTGTCCTGTCTGTCATTTATAGAGTAGCAGCTTCCACATGAACTAACATTTGAATGTCAACTGTCAGATCTCATTAGGTGAATTATTACGATTGCAATTAAAGCAAAATGAGTTCATCAGCAGTGACATAAAAAAAAGTCAATGCGTTTGTTCCTGAGTTAAAATAAGGTCAGAGAATTAGGGTAGAATGCTAATGGTAGGCTTATTCCTTTCACCTCAACAGAGAATAAGAAAAGGTAAGTAATGGGAATGACTTACATTACTAGGAGAGTCTGGATTGGGTGTGTTTAATTTAACAGAGGAATTTTTATAAATTTTTTTTAACATTTGTATTTAGTTTTGAGAGACAGAGACAGAGCATGAGAGGGGGAGTGGCAGAGAGATGTGGGGAACACAGAATCTAAAGTAGGCTCCATGCTCTGAGCTGTCAGCACAGAGCCTGTCATGGGGCTCGAACCCACGAAACCATGAGATCATGACCTGAACCGAAGTCGGATGTTTAACCGACTGAGGAAGTCAGATGCTTAACCAACTGAGCCACCTAGGCGCCCCTCAGGGAGGAAATTTTAAAAAAACAAAGCAAACCAGCAAACTGGTATTTTGCTATTTGGGGAGTTTTATCAATCTGGAGTCTAGTGAGAATCATTCACATGTTGTTAGCCCAGGTTGCCCATGTTGGCCTGCATTTTCTCTGGGTGAGTTTAGACTGTGTAGATGGTGATGTGGATGCTGAAGTTGTGTCTAATTATTAAGTAGCACTCTGTTGAACTAAAAGAACAACGAGGAGCCTTCTTGAGTCCTGAAAGTTTCCTTAAAAGTATTACTTACTCCCATCCAAGCCTAATGCAGTTCCCTCAGTGTTTATTATCATTTGGAAGTAGTTTATGCCAGGACAGCCAGTTCAACAAGCCCCCCAGTGTTGCCTTCCTGAAAGATCTCTATCAGGCTGGCTTGGAAGTATTGTGTCTTTTGGCCTTATCATGTCTTGTCAGCTCTCACTCACAGCTAATGCAGCTTGTACCTGGGGAGTGGTGGGCGGTTGAGTGTCGCTGATGCAGAAAAATGCCTACCAGGGAATGACAGATGATGACAGGTGATGAGCTGCATCAGATCATGGCAGGGCTTAGTGCAGCAGGTCAAGGACCTCAGACTTTATCCTGTGAGCAGTGGGGAGAGTGTCTGCTCCCATAGGCGCTTTTGATAGGACTCTCTGGAGGCTGAGGTGGAGAACAGACTTGAAAGGAACCTGGAGAAGAGACCATCCACAGTATTGCTGCAGTCCAGACCACCTATGGGATCAAGAGTAGAAATGGCAAAGAGGAGGAGGTAAGATCGGTAGGATTTAGGATTGGTTAGGGGAGAAAAATCATAAATCCACTTCTGGTCACATCGACTTTCAGCAGCCTGTGGGATGTCCAGGTGGGGATTTTAGGATGGGTCCATACAACAGAGATGATCCAAATAATTTCAGGCAGAAGCCCTTCTTTGGGCTGAATTACTGGGCCTTGCACGTAATTGTCCACTAACTGCTTCATGCATGCCAATTTTGTGTCCTTAGCTAAATTTCTTTGTGAGAACAGGGCCTGTGTCTGTTGGTCACGTAGAAATCTCTCCATATGGGGGCACCTGGGTGGTCAGTCGGTTATGCATCCAACTCTTAGATTTCAGCTCAGGTCATGATCTCATGGTTCGTAGGTTTGAGCCCCGTGTTGCACTCCACGCTGATGGCATACAGCCTGCTTTAGATTCTCTCTCTCTCTCTCTCTCTCCTTCTCTCTCTCTCTGCCCCCCACCCCTCAAAAATAAATAAATAAACTTAAAAACATTTTAAAAAGAAAGAAATCTCTCCATATATACATATTGGCTAATTAGCTGAAAATAAGTTTTCCAGTTTAAATGATTAATTTGGTTGTTGAGACTACAGATTCACCACACGACTCAATAATCCTTCCAATATTTCTTTAGGTAGTAGTACTACAATACTATGCGTAAAAAAAAAAAAATTCATCATGTTCTACTTGGCTAAAATTTATAAGCAATATCCAAAGTCACATTGTAAAACTGGTTTAGGGCCTTACATTGATGTTTAGCGTAACTGGAAAACTCAGTTGATTACAGGGTTTGCCTGGTAACTGTCACAGCCCCAGCAAAATGGTCAGTGAGGAAGAGCAGTTGTTCCCAAGCCACAGCTTTATGTCTAAATTGTGCAAAGGGCTCCTCAGGGGAACCGGTTTGTTGCATTGGGCAGAATTAATGACTTCTTGTGCCAAACATTCTCCAGGCTTGAGGTTAAGGTTATTACTTGTTGGTTTCTGAGTCCTTCCTTTGCAGAGCAAGCTCCCGGGAGTATACAGTTGAATGCCCTGAGGATCTGGTGTAGAAACTAGAAGCGTAAGGTCAAAATGAAGCCCCCGTCTGGGCCATTCTAGAGCAGGAGGTTGAGGTGCTTTTGGGGGACTCTTAGCATGAACGGTGGAGAAGCTGCCTGGACACAAGGAGCTCAGCTCCCCCTTCCTCAGTCCCTCACTGTCTGTTCCAGCCCCGGGAGTTTACATGACTTCGCACAGCTGCCCTAGTTTCCTTTCCTCCAGAGGGAAGGCCTGACTCCCCAGAAACGTCTCAGAATCTACGTGAGGGCCTCTCCATAGTTTCACTGTCTCCCTGAGGTAGGGCTGCTGGGTAAAATACAGGATGCCTAGTCAAATTTCAATTTCAGATAAGCAATGAATAATAGTGAGTATGTGTCATGCCATATTTCGATTCACTTCAGTGTATCGGTTGTTGACATCTTGCCATATTTACTTCATCTCTCTCTGATATACTCTTTCTTAAATTATTTGAATGTAAGTTGCAGACATCACAATGCTTTGTTCCTGAATCCTTCAGCATGTATCACCTATGAATTAGAGTACTTTGTGACACAACCCTGGGCTTTGCAGACCCACAGACCTGGACTTGACTTACTGGCTCCGTGAACTTGGGATAGCCAGTGCCACCATTTCCTTGCCTGAAAAATGGGAATTCTTGTCTTGCAGGGTTAGCGTAAGGCTTAGATGATGACATAAAGCTCTAGCACAGCCCCCTGACTCCTAGAGATCCAGTAAATAGTAGCTGGCCATGGTGGTAATGGTACCCGAGCTGAACGTCAGGGAAGAAGATAAAAATGAAGAAGGTAACGATAAAGTCGCAACTGTTTTGGAGCAGCTGTGTGTGTGAACTTCCCTCTGCTCTTGCATTTCCCTCCTCCTTCTCTACTTGGTCTGCGTATACAGACACACACACACAACATGCAGTCCACTGTGGGACTTGCAGGGATTCCTTGACACACACCTAGCAATGGAGTGGACAAAAAGAGACACGTTAAAGGTACAGGAGAAGCCAACACTCTTGAGGGCACGATTTGAAAGGAATTAAAGGTGGCGTGAGACCTGGCTTGAGTGTGGACTCAGCTGAGAGTGGCCAGGGCGAGGGGGGGTGATGGTGATAGGGGTGGAGGCAAGACACAGATGGTGAGGAGAACCCCAGGTCGAAACAGAATCTGCCATCAGCGTGAGTCTGGCAGGCTGTCAAGGATCGCTTTCATTGTTAGGCTTTGTATTTGCTTTGTTTAGTTAAGGACTCCCGTGTACTAAATGTTTATTTCTATCTCAAAACTGCCTTAGTCGACTTGAGATTTGGAGGAACAAGTTCAAGTCAGACTGTTATAAAAACAGCCAGTTTTACCCTCTTTTCTGGAAAGGATTGTGCCCTCCTTTCTGGAAACTCTTCTTCTTGTCTTTGGATTTTTGGTTGCCTAAGAGCTGGATGCAAACCAAAGAAGATAAACTCAGGGAGTTAACCCATGTGTCAATTCATGCTGGCTCTTTTGAGGTTCATAATTCTGAGGTGATTTTCTTTACTTTAATAAATAAGTGAGATCACGAGCCCTTTCTCACTCTGAAAGTCTTCACACACTGGGTGCTTGTCAGGATAAGTTAGCAAGGAATACAGTGTGCTAAATCAGCCATCCTGGCAATAATAGGGAAAGAAACACTGTGAGGCTGAGCGTGGGGGATGGCGGCTCTTGGAGCTTTTGTGGGAGCCCTGACCACAGCTGATGAGGCATCAGCTTCGCCTTTGTTTTGCAAGGACAGAGGGAGAGGCTAGATGAAGTAGGTTCTCTGTGGATCCACGCCTCCTTTCCCTTGGGGCCTATTAGTGACATTTTATAGAATCTGAGTTTCTCAGATTTTCATTAAAAAAAAAAATAAGGGAATAATTATTTTTTCTGCTTCCAGAAGTATTTTATTTCTGTTGTAAAAAATCCCAATGCAGAAAAACGTAACAGAGAGAATGGAAGACGCCTTGTAATCCCGTCCCATAGAGATGTGTGCGATTAGATGTTTAGTGTGGATGTTTTGAGATTTTGACGGTAATTAAAATAGTGAAATTTTAAAATTAACTGTATTTTACCGCACTGACATTTTCATGTTTGAATTTTATCTGCTAGTCTTGTCCACACATTGTCTTTTTCCGTTTAGCATAGATCATGAGCATGTTTCTTATTTCTGTATAGTCTTCCTAATTTTAATGGTTGCTTTCTACTCCAACCTGTGAATTATCATAATTTACTAAACCATTCTTTTCCGTTTGACATTTTGGTTATTTCTGATTTTATGCTAATTCCTCGTTGTCTCAGCCTAAACCGAATTAAAGATAGCGCTGGAAGAGAGGATCATGACTAAAGACTTCCTGCGTGGTTTCTTTTCTCTTTCATTTTTTAACATTCAGCAGATTAATGGGAGTGACATGATTCCTTTTTTAATTAATTTATTCTTTTTTTGTTAAACTTTTTTTATTTTTTTCATTTTTTAAATGTTTATTTCTGAGAGAGTGCACACTCAAGCAGGGGAGGGGCAGAGAGGGGGGCACAGAGGATCCCAAGTTGGTTCCATGCCGACAGCACAGAGCCTGACGTGGGGCTCGAACCCGCGAACTGCGAGATCATGACCTGAGCCCAAGTCAGACTCTTCACTGACTGAGCCACCCAAGTGCCCCTCCTTTTTTGTTTTAAATCAAGACGTGGAACCCTCCCATCCCCACTCAAGATGGCAATAATCAGGATCACAGTTACCATTCATGAGCATTTTGAGGTGGCCTGAGATAAGCTCTCTGCTGAAATCTCATTTAATCCTTACAATCATCCTAGCCAAGCCCTCATTCCCATTTGTGCCCATGTAACCTTCTAAAACACCTCTTGCCTGTGTCAGTGCAAAATAGGCAGCATGGCCCAATAATTATTGCCACATTAAAAAACAAATGCAGCCTAGGTAAAGAAAGACTATTTGAAAGGACTAGTGCAGTAGGAGGCAGGAGATGTGCATTTGGGAGATCTTTTCCCATCTGAGAAGGAGAGTAACAAGGCTGGGAAGGAGAGAAACTTAACCAAATTTGGTTCACAAGCATTTTTTCCTCACCTTTATTGAGGTATGGTTGACAAGTAAACCATGACAAGTATGAGTTGTGTAAGTTGTGTAAATTGTTTATATATTTTGGATACTAACCTCCTATCAGATATCTTGCAAATATCTTCTCCTATTCAGTAGGTTGCCTTTTTTGCTCTATTGCGGTTTCCTTAGCTGTGCAGAAGCTTTTAATCTTGGTGTAGTCTCAGTAGTTTATTTTTGCTTTTGTTCCCCTTGCCTGAGGAGACATATCTAGAAAAAAATGTTGCTTTGGCTGATGTCAGAGAAATTGTTGCCTGTGTTCTCTTCTAAGATTTTTATGGTTTTAGGTCTCACAATTAAGGTCTTTAATCCATTCTGAGTTGATTTTTGTATTTGGTGTTAGAAAGCAAAATGAGTGAAGGGGAGTGGGAAATACTGACTTCCAGTTAGGAATGAATAAGCCATGGGAATAAATCATGGCAATAAAAAGCAGAGGGAAGATAGTCAGTGATATTGTAATAGTATTGTATGGTGACAGATGGTAGCTACACTTGTGAAGATAGCATTATGTATAAACTTATTGAATCACTATGTTGTACACCTGAAACTAATGTAACATTGTGTGTCAACTATACTCAAGAAATTTTAACTGTATACATATAAGGTGTACTACATGATGTTTTGAATAATGTATGCATTGTGAAATGATTATTATAATACTAATTAACATATCCTATCACCTCAGTGTGTGTGTGTGTGTGTGTGTGTGGTGAGAACACTTGAGATCTATTCTCTTAGCAAATTTCAAGCATACAATAAAGTATTATTAGCCATAGTCAGCATGCTGTACATTAATAGGCATTTTGTTCCTATTGATCAGTGGGAACCTGTGATTCAACTAATCAATAATGAGGCAAAAACTGGGAATGTGGAGGGTCTGAGTCTGGCCTTTTCTAGGGATAAACAGTGAGGGGAATCTTAGCTAAGTCCTATGGAAGAGTGTTTCTTTGCAGGAAGCCATTTCTTGGAACACAAAAGAGTGGTAGGTTCCTGAACCATTTACTGCTTTCCAGGAGCACTAGGCTCTGGTAAAATTCAATGTTACCGGGAGCTCAGGTTTAGAGTGAGTCCTAGGGTGGGAGGCTGACTCCATCTCCTACTAGCAAACCTTAGGCATTCCCCTAACCTTTGAGCTTTGGTCTCCAAAAGTGTAAAAACAGGGGAAATGATTTTCACTTTGTAGGTTATTAAGGGAGATTACATGAAATAAAGGGCAATATTGTGCCTGGCTCTCGATAATGCTCTGCAGCTCAGAAATCTTCCATGGCTCCCCATTGTATATCAGATGAAATCTAGGCTCCTATGACCCCAACCTACCTCTAAATGAGTCTCTCTACTCCTTATAAAACCATATGCAGTCACACCTAACACTGTCCCCTCTCTGTATGTTTTATTTTCTCATTCTCCACATTCACTATCTTTCTGATTAAGCGGAGGATTCCAGGAGAGATGGACATGGAACAGGCAGGGAGGAAGGATAGTTGAATCAACTCTGGCTGTCCATAAGGTGTCTATGACCTCCCTCTGCTTGCTAAATTTTTATTTTTTCTCCCCGGCTCATTTTAAGGACTGCCTTTCTCCATCTCAGGTCATAGAATCCACTATGTGAACACTCGTGAGACTGTTGTCTGGTATAGTCACTGGCCATGTATCACGTGCTACTTCATGCTGTGGGTTAAGTTGCATGTGTGTGTCAATACTCCCCTAAGTGGAGGCCAAGTTCCTGGCATGCAGAAACCATATCTGTGTTGATGGATATCTCTGACCATGCCTAGCACATACATAGTGTTTTGAGGACTTGCATTCATAGTTCAATCCTTTCCAAGAACCACCATGGGTATAGCACTGGTTTAAATAGGTTTCAGGAAAGGGGGGTCATGGAAGGACACAGATTTTTTTTCTTTCCACCCACAAAAGGAACTGGCTGTACTTAGCTCTTTAGGGTACTGGATTACTGAGAAAATACACAAACTGATAGGGATTAGATCTCTCATGATTATGTGATTCTAACAACACTATTGCTTTCTGGTATCTGAATGTGACAACCACTTCCTCTGGTATACTTTAAAGGCTCTTTGGATTTGTAGCTAGAGAGCTGCTGTTACGAGGCTTGGCACTTGTAACGCTTGTGACTTTGCATTTGACCACTTGTCAAATACGGGCAATTGCCTCCTGGTACCCCTCTGCACCCCTCTCCACCCCTTCTGCACCCCTCTGATTGCCTCCTAGCAAGTTCTTCTCACCTAGCCTTTTATAAGTAAAGATGATGGAAGCTGGTGTCTAAGTTTTCTAGAACTATATTTTGTTGATTGAACTAATGTTTCTTCAAGAACTGCACTGTTCTAGACACTGTGGGGAAGACTAAAAGGGGAAAAAAGGACCCATTTTTGTAGGTTAGCACCTTCTATTTTAAAAAGCTAACAGTTAACTTCGTACATGACCATACTGAATAGACACACTTCCCTTCCCATTTTTGCTTGCTGATAATGGCCTGCTTCATGTTGATTCCTGTTAACTTCAATTTTTACAAGATGTTTTCTGACCTGGCCCCTTTTTTCCTATGAAATTCCTATGTAATGTGTTTTGGGATTCAAAGGAAGAGATGATCCATCCAGTGAAAGGGGTATTACTCAAGGAATTCACAGAGGAGAGGACATTATTGCCTTGCCCTATTCTGGAAATTTATGGGCAAGAAAAAGAGGTCCTTATTTAATGAAGCCAAACAACTTAAAAAATATCTATCCTCTAGAAGAGAAATAAATTGTTTGCATGTTAGATTTCTCGTAGTTAACATATTAGTTTTGGGTAGGTTAAATTCATGTTACTAAGCTGTTTCTGGAAGCTATATGTGTACTTTATGGTGGAGAAACTCTACCGTATATCTTGTATAACTAAAATGGGTAGTATATTTATACCTGTTGTTTTTTTATTTTTGTTTTTTTTTTTAATGTTATACGCAGAAGTAGGGTTGGAAGGTAGAGAAGAGCCACCCAGGATTCCAGACCTAGCTCTGACATTAAGGAGCTGAATGAGCTTCCGCACACCCCCTTACCCTTCCAGAACCCCCATGTCACCCCTTCTCGACCTCAGCACCCTTTTCAGTTCTGGTGTTCTCTAGCTCTCTGAGCCTGATTCTTCAGATAACTAGGACTCCAGTTTAGGAGATAAGATAAAAGACCACAAGCGTTTTAAAAAATTGCCTGAAGTGACTGATTCAGCTGCTCAGGTGCCGGGCAGAGGAAGATCAGTGCATTCAGGGCAGGTGGCGAGGGCTTCTCCAAGGAGAGTCCGAGCTGAATCCGGGAAGTTGGAGGATAGGAGTTTCATGGTTTGTCTTTAAATTTTTCTGTCTCATCAAGCTGATCTCTTCTCAGCAAATCAGTACTGGTAGTAAAGGCCAAAAATATTTCAATAATGTGTTGTTTGAGTAGAAATCTGATGATTAGACATTTTCAATGGATGCCAAACCACAAATAATCTCCAGTTCCATGGCATGGCCAACTCATGGATGTACATTTACTTTCAGCCCTCCAGATCACCAGCTTTGCTTTGATGAACTTAGGTTTTCTGCATTCATTTATCCTAGAGCCACTTTGTTTTGTCCTGCAGAGATTATTGAGATTTTTTTTTTTTTTTTTTTT